TTGAAAGGTGTGTCAGTTCGACTTACAAGGTAATCCACTCGAGTTCTCGTGCCTTCATGGCGTTGAAGACATCACCCAATTGATTCTACACCTCCTTAATTTTTTCGTCCCAATGATTAGGATGAGATCCCTTGGAATTACCATGGATATAACTCCCATGCTCCAAGCTTTGGTTTTCACCCTCGTCCTCTTGGAAAAGAAGGTCTCCACCATAAAAAGAGGGAGCTGAAAGAGGAGGTAGAGGTCCCTTGTGGGGAGCTCCCCCGTGCGGGGCGCCTGAGGGGACTCTAAAGGGGGCGCTCAGATAAGGAGCACCCATGTGGGGAGCTCCTACACGCCCAGGGCGTGGAGCTCCTCTGACTTGAGGTCTACGTTGTGCTCTTCCTCCTAGATGAGGAGCACCCATGTGGGGAGCTCTTTGACGCCCAGGGCGTGGAGATCCTCTAACTTGAGGTCCAGGCTGTGCTCCTCTTCCTAGATGAGGAGTGCCCATGTGGAGAACTCCTTGACGCCCAAGGAACATTAGTTGTAGGATCTGTTGGTTCTGGGCCGCAAGTTGCTGCATGGTCTCGAGCATCTGCTGCTCATTTGGGGCAGGATTGGTTGGTTGAGGAGCAACCCCCTCCTCTCTTGGTGGTGGGTTATCTTCAGGCTGATTCATGGATCTGTTGGTGATGGACTTTGACTCAGCAAAGGAAAGTGACTAGGTGAGAATTGTCGTTCCCACAGACGGCGCCAAATTGATGATGCACAAATTATTTTGCACACCACTAGTCAAGTTATAGTATAAAATGCAGTAAGTAGAAGGGAAGAGAAGACAAAATTTATAGTGGTTCGGTCAATACGACCTACGTCCACTTTGAATGGCTAGGTTCGCCGAAATTTTATTATCTCCGGTGTGGAGGGAGAGCACATGATTACAAGTTTTGAGAGGGGAGCAGAGAATTATGTTTAAATGAGTCTGATGCCCTCCAAGTGTTGGGGTAACTTACAATTTATTGTGGCTTGACATAGTAATTGTATGACTAGTTTGACGGTCATAATGGCTTAGGACCGTTTGATAGTAATTAGGTAGCTGATCTGGCAGAGGCAATCTATCATCTTCTCAACGGGCGAGGTGTGACAGTTGGTGTGCTCTCCCAAGGACTTGGTCAAGGATAAGGGAGGTTGACTCTCTCCAGACTACGAGGGTGAGGCTCCTGGATGCTCCTTGGTGGCGTAGAGGAGGCTCTTGGATGACCTTTACTCCAAGATGGTAGAGGAGGCTGTTGGATGACCGTGCATGCTCTCCTGCTGATGTAACTCCTTGATCTTGATAAGATTATCTAGGTGTAGACTCATTTGAGCTTGACTAGCTGGATCTCTTGAAATTGAGCCTTTAGCTCAGACTAGACTTATAACTTGAGTTGGACCTCTGGCTGACCCATCATTTACTAAGCCCAAACGTCTCATAGTTTTTGAGATTTCCAATGTGCATCTAATTAATTCTGAATTTTACCAAGATTTGGTATATCAAATTGACTTAGAATTCAGTTTTGTGACTAAATAGGATTAAGATTCTCAATTGATGCCTACTCGTAATCCTATTTAAATTTTCACATCATCATAAAAATAAGACATAGATAGAAGTCTTTTGCATCCCTAAAATTTTCGTTCACAATAGTTGGTGTGGTCACCACGGTAGCTCGATTGTGAAGCTCCCATTTTGAAAAGGTGTAATACTTGAGACCTTCAAAATTGACCTAATTTGTTCACATAATGAGGTATTAAGTAATGGAGTCCCAATGAAAAAAATTCAAGAATTACAGTCACAACAACACTGTTGGATTATATCACTGTCATATCATCAAACCATCAAATTAGATCAAATTTTTTTTTATTTTTTGGATGAGTAAATTGTATTGATAATTTGTGCAAAAATACAACCACACCCAAGTGGCCAAAATATACATCTGTGAGGTATATAGTCAGTCCAGCTCTGCATAAAGCAATCCTGGAGCCAAAAAAAAAAAAAAAGACCAAAAGAGTCTAATAGTTAAGTAGTTCTGTTGGTTGCACAGGACTTCTTTAAGATTAGGATCTGCATTATACAAAGTCAATCAAAAAAACAGACCACTCCTGTCAAGGTTAATCCACTATGCTAAGCACCAGATAGAATAATTTGCCGCATCTGCAGAAGTTGGAGACTCTGTGGGGTTTCCTTGCATTTGACAGTAATCAACTTGCTGTAGACAGTATTAATGATTTCCTTGAAAATGGATATTGCATCCTTAAACACATTTTTAAACACTCTTCTATTTCTCTCCCTCCATAAGCTGTACACTGTGGCTGCGAGGCATAGCTCTAGGTTGGTAGTTCTAAGAGATTTTCCCTTCAACTGCTTTGTTAAAAATTAGATCAATTTTTTAAGTTTTAATAGCATTTCTATTTCAGAAAATGGAAATAGTTTTCAAATTCAGTCATCGTGCATATCGCATGCTTACCTTACTTTTTTGGGTAACATTGAGGTGGGTTGCACCAGGCCAAGGCAATACTTGAGAGCACCAATAGCAACCTATTGTGGTGGACTCTCTTCAAAAAAAAAATTAATTTAATATCGTGTGTGCCGTTGGCTCACCTATCCGATATTAAACTGATAATAAATTAATTGGTTGCCCTAAACCTATGTTATGTCCTTATTGTAGGCGCTGAAAAGCATTATTGTTTGGTGGAGGGTCTTAATCTCTTTGACTGGATTGATGATAAATGTTACAACAAAATGAGGGCTTGGGATGTGGTTGTACATGAAAAAAAAAAAGGACGATAAGACAATGGTAAATTTAGTATGCCACGAAAATAAAGCTAAGAATAATTTGTGTTTTATTGTTCTGAAACAACAGGAATATTTTGATGACTCTCTTAAAATTGGAAACAACAATCCTTATATGGGCTGTGTGTTTGTTGAGATATCGGTTGAATCCTATACGGAAGGCAGAAGAGAGGAATCACTCCAATCATTTCTTTGTGAGCTTAAAAGGAAAGATTACGACTCTTCCCGATAGATAACCAAAGAGTGGACAACAGCAAACCAAAAACCTACTCCATATGAGCTAGCTAGCCAACGAGATGAGCTACCCATTGAGGGAGCTTAAACTGATGTCCATCTGTGTCAGTCGTTATCTTCCTCTCAGATAGGTCATTCCATATAAATATGAAAACGATACGACTCATTAATATTTTTATTATTAAAAAAATTGGGTCCATTGTCCAAGACCCTCGTCATTGCGAGAGTGACGCCCTAACTAATCACTTTTTCTCCCTTCTCTTTCCGTCTTTCATTTTGGTTTAGTTAGAACAATCTTGCCAACTAAACATAATGATATTTGATTTTTTAAAATCCAAATGATTTTGAAATTTTAAGTTGTGAATCTTAATTCTATTATAGACTTATAAAACGACCCTATAATTTATTTCATAATGATCCTAAGTTTTATAAAATTTTAAAATAACTTCATAATATTTGGTAAAAATTATAAAATTACCTTGATATGTTCAAAATTTATTTGAATGTCTTTTTCGTGTTTGAAGCATGTCTGAAAGTGTATAGTCATTTAGATATTTTTACCAATTACTATAGGGTGGGCAAATTCAAATATAATAAAACAAATTCTGAATTTTTACATAAATAATTTTTGAAAAAAAAAAATAAATTCAGTGGGCACATGCCCACCCTTGGGCCTAAGCTAGCTCCGCCCATGTTAGATGGATTCAATACGTTGTAACCACCGGTGTTTCCTTATTACAAATAATTGGAATTTACTGAAACAAATAGTTATGTCCGGCTGTTTTCGGCTTGAAAACCTCATAAACATCAAACTAAACATCCAACCCATCAAATATGCACTGTCATCCCTAAGTTATAAATACAGCACCTAGTCTTAAAACATCACCTACTGATTTTTAATGGACCACTTGTTTTGTCGTGACTTTTGCCATGCTTTGAATTACTATGGTGGTTATGTTTTCTTCCTCCTAATGTGGACCAATCTACCATCTAATGATAACAATTAGGTTCGCGAAGTTTCTTGAGATATCATACCTATAAATAATTCTCAAAAAAAATACCGAGGTGTAACTCGTCATGTAAAACTTCCAAAACCATGAAAGAGACCTCTCTACAAGGAGTGCCATGATGTGACATGCATAAGTCCCTTCGTTACAACTAGCGGATTATACCATGAAGGAACCTGCCAAGGAGCTAAAAGTTGATTATGCCCGGCGATTTGTACCAAGTGTTTTCCACTCTCTTCATTATCAGATCAATAATGGTGCTTGCCCCCCCCCCCCCCCCCCCCCCCCCCCCCC